GTTATGTCCTCCTGATGGGCCTTTTTTCGTTGAATAGCCGTTTTTTTATTTTGAGCACACAGATTGATTAAGTGCATTTGACCGAATCGTTTCGAGGGTGGGAGTATGGCTTTCCTCACCACTATGCCCGTCCCAGTTTCATGTGTACAGCTAGGTTGGTCTTTTTTGTTCTGTCCCCACCAACCATCCATTTTTTCCTTTTGTAAACGCCACATCTCCGCTCATCTTTGCTTGTCTTGCGGACCTAATTTTGACCACTCGCCGCTGCAGCATTCATACTGGAAGCGGACTGCTTTCTCTCCTTATTCCATGGATTAAAGAATTACTGGTTCTAGTTTTGCCCGCTTCGCTTGTCGCTGATGAAAGGCTTCGAACAATTTCTATGTTAGCTACTCCCCGGTCCCGACTGTCATTGATTGGCTGATTGGTTGGTCCCACTTTTATTATCAGTGTCAGCATTCTCATAATTTTGCTTTTTTCAGATATTCATTGAACACTTACCCCGTCACCACATCAAAACTTGTGGGACACGTTTACATCACTGTAATTTAAGCACGCACAGATAAACTGATTGTTCCTGCTAATGCTTCGCTCTGTTCGCTCTTCATTCCCACCGAATCGAATGGCGTACAGCACAATCGCCCACCCCACCGCCGCCGTATGTACCTGTGGGATGAGAGTCACGTCGTCTCCACGTGTGAAGTCGGTTGGATGTCCCTTTTCGTCTTCTCTTTGCTATCCACCACGACAATACTATTCCCCTTGTTCTTATCCAGACAAAGTCGTTCCTGTACTTACTAGAGATGTTACATGTGTGTATGTGCGATCTTCCTGATCAATAAATGACGAAACGTTTTCGTGCAGACTCGCACTAGGGTTGGGGGCGAGCTGTTACTAGTTCAAAGTAACATTATGTCCAAGATACAGTCTCATGTGTCCACTAAACAACCAAATGATCAATCGCGCAAGTCACGTGATTCCGAGAGCATAGTCCCAACAACATTATTCCGCTAGGCTTTACAAACTTAGCCGAAGTGACGAACGGAACTATTCGATCGAATGTTTTCTGCTGGCTATTTGGAACAGTTGTCGGTGGATGGAGGGCTGCTGAACGGTAGTGCAACTCTGTATCGGTCACTTGGCTTCCCGCTCCGCCCAGTATTCCATATCAAAAAGTACGGTAGCTCTACACAGCCCTTTATGGTGACAAACGACAATTATTACAACTGTATTTATGGGGTAATCACAGTGTTCCACAAGATCGTCCTAGAATCTCCGTGCGGGGGTGAGAAGCATCGAGTCAAAGATGCCCTATCCGGATTGGCTAGCATTTTGACCAGTCAGGGCGTGCCTTTGTTTGGTCCGCGTCCTGCATGTGACACATCCGTCCAAAAGTTGTGATGTTCGGTTATTAGGGACGGCTGGCCTCCGGACAGAGGGAGAGGTGGTCTGCATACTCATTTGGTCTTATGAGACCAGGGAGTGGGTGATCTAATATCGACATCGTTACCGCATTTTACGATCGTGGGGCAACGATTCTGAAAGGACCATTTGCTATTGTTACGAGACTTTCTGATTTGCTGTGGTGAGGCTGATTGGGTTGGTCGTGTTGTCGGCCTTACCCACGATGATGTTTGGTTAAATTTATGTGCCTTGCTCAACCAAGTAGTTTCCGGTGTACTAAGACAAACAAGGTATCAAAATTTCTGGTTGAAAGGCTTTGCCAACTGTCCCTTCGACTTGTGGCTTCGTTTTGGGGTTGTGTGGATGTAGAGCAGAGGGTTTTCAGTTGCAATTGCTTCTCTAGCAATTTTTCTAGGAATTTCTATTCACGGTTCCTTGGTGCAACCTGACTGGAAAGCCCAGACAGGTGGGTCAATTGGCCGAAAAATCCAGGCCATGTACCGGTTCCTTCACGCTCACATCACTTGTGTTTGAACAGTCCTCCCTGTGTCTTGGCACGATTAACCTGATTGGTCCTCATTATTCTTGATGTCTCATCTTACCAGACCTCATCAGTGGTGTGTGGTCTTGGTATCTGACAAACGAGGTGAGGGTGCTGCCACTAGTCTCCCAGGTCATGCTGTACGCGGCTGATTAATGTGGTATGAACAGAAGAACTTGCTCACACTGTGATTGGTTTGCCCAGCCAGTCGTCCTTTTAGCCATCGGAGGTAGCTAATCACATCACTCAAATCTATGCACATTACGCTGCTCAGACCTGGTACTTTGTTTCCGTCTAACGTGTGCTGGTGGAGTGGCCCTGAGATGTTTGCCTGACACGTCAGCGGCGATGCCAAGCATATACAATGCAGAGGATCTCAACTAGGTGTGAATTGTCTTCAAGGCTGGAGTAGCAAAAACTCATCACATCGATGGTTAAGTCCATTTACTGACATGGTGATATCACAACCAGTGCTCGTGTTGTGTCCCTGGTCATTAACCCACTGCCTTTTTTTCGTTCCATCCGATGCTATCCGCTACCATACGCTTCAACAACCCGGGGTACCATGTTCACGCTTCACGGTTGTCAAACTCAAGTTAAATACTTTTCATAAAGGAAACTACTCACAAGGTTGCTGAAAACTCTTCGACAGCCCACGACCGGTTTCGCCCTTCCAATTCGGNCTTATGGACCATTTCGATTTGCAAATGAGTATATTTCTCGAAAACAGTCCAATTCGGGTTCAAGCAGAACATACGGTTGACGGAAACTCGGGGACTGCGCCTACCTGATGAGCCCGAATTGGAAGGGCGAAACCGTTCGTGGGCTGTCGAAGAGTTTTCAGCAACCTTGTGAGTAGTTTCCTTTGTGAAAATATACTGCGTTATCTCGAATATCGTGCCAACTGAAACATGAGGCGGCCCGTGTGCAGCACATTCAGTTGTAGAATACCATAAACGAGAGATTCAATTGGGTCTCCCGTGAAAACTAATGAGAACAATCTAGCCAGGGTAAGTGGAGGACTGGGCAAACTAGTGAGCAAAAATGACCTCTATCAGATGGAGACTTCTAGTTCGAATTTGTCGTCATTAATCTCCGTTCGTAAACTTTCGTGCACCTTCAATTTAAAAGTCACACTGGCATAACTCAGCCAGGTTTCACTTCAAAAATATTTGTTGGGAACCTGTTGGCTACCCAGCTTTCACATCATGCGAGAAGGCGTCAAGCGAACACATGAAGGATAATTATTTGTTTGTTAAGCGCGCACCGAGCAAAAAAATCACTAACACTGTTTTGCGTCATTAGTGGCTGTACTGAAAATGCAGCAGGCGACCCCCGAAATCAAGCGAAAGTCGATCAATCAGAAGAAGCTAGTAGTGTTACGGTATGTACCACTGATGAAATATGCAAGTAACCCATTGTCTGGTGTTCGGGCTTCGCCCCGTATCTGACCGAAGGTTAGATGGAACTGCTTTGCAGTATTCGCGTATGATGGTTTAATACTCGAAGAAAGTCCAGGAAAGTTTAAGAAGACGTTTCGGAATGTCTATTTTTCGAAAAATCTATACAAATGAGATGCCTACTTTCGTGTTTACTAGTTTGTAACTGTTTGGTTCGTGTTTGCCAGTGAGTGACTTCCCAACGAAGGGCTTTCCCGCTTTCGAAGCATCGGATACTCAGACTCCGATTTTGTTTGTTTCGTCCGTCCCCTCACACCATCGTGTTCAGGTTTTTGTACGACCGACTGCCTGTAAGCCGACAGTTAATCGAAGAGAAGCTGGGCGCCTTCATGGCTCCGCCGGAGTGTGGAACACTGTCGTTAGAAGTGCGACGGTTTTCGGCGAGGACGCCCACGACTACCGCCGAAAGTGTTGAGAAGGTACGGGTAGTTTGGTTCCACTGTAGCAGATGATATGACTTCGGTCCTGGCAAAGATTCGCTTGTCCGGACGAGTATGGGTATTGCAATTGGGGGAAGGACGCTACAACCTCAGAGAGCGATGATTAGTGTTGTGCTGGCGTTTCCAAGACGTGAGTGTCAATCGGACACACACAAGGGGACGATTTGGATGAGTTTTCCTCACGGCATCTAGTGTATGGTATGTAGATACAAGTTCGGCATCTTTCTGATCATGTGGGCGTCTGGTCATGTACGCGTTTGTGGAAAGTGAGCAGTGTTCGTTTTGATGCGTAAACTGTTTAGCTTGTTCAGGGAGGCGGACACGGGCGGCCAGGCCCGTGCTCACGTGAGAGTCAACTGAATCTCTCGCTTATGGTATTCCTCAACTAAATGTGTTGATAGACCCACTGCCAATAGCTGACATGTTCCGCCGTGTGGCTCGTCCCCAGAGAAAACCACACAGTAGGTTTTATTTTTACCATATTACTAGTGAAAGGGAGAAGGCCTTCGCTGCGGACTTATTTATTAGGAAATGCCAACTGACCGGTTACAGACCATTGGACAGGGAAGCAAAACTCTCATTTGCATCTTATTTACAAAAACTGGACATCCATCTCCTGAGCGCGTCTCCTTGCACCTTCCTAGATATTCACTGACTCCAATAATTTATCGCTCAAATCCAAGCAAATGTTACAAAGCGACTCCACAAATTCCTCAACAGATCTCCCCTTTTCAAAAGACGGAAAGCGAAATTCCGCGAACAACACATACTACTCGCTTGTCTCCCTATCACTAGTATCACCGTCCCTCAGCACATACATTTCGCCAGGACCTGGAGGTACCGCGCCGCACCGATCAACGATTCGTCTCGTACCTCACAGCTCGATGGCTGTACATGACCCGGAAGTGGACTGTCTCGGATGGCTCAATTTGCAATGTGATGTGGAAAAATATCGTTCAGCTGTAACACCCTTTCCCTCAGTACATACATTTCACCAGGACCTGAGGATACTGCGCCGCACCAATCCACGATTTGTCACTTACCTCACGGCTCACTGGCTGTATATGACCCGGAAGTTGGCTGTCTGGAATGGTTCACTCTGCAATGTGACGTACAAAAATATCGTTCAGCTGTAACACCCTTTCAGCGCCTACCTGCCATGCCAGCCGAAGGTTGCACGAGGGCTGGGATACTGCCAGGTTGCCCAAGCCTAGACAGGGGAAGTCGAGAGACAGAGGTCGGGTTCGAGCCACGGACCTTACGGTCAGCAAATTCGCGCTCTAACCACTTGGGCCATCTCGTCCCAATGTGACGTACAATAGTCTGGAGAACAGTAATAACGGTCTCGAGCATGCCGTAGATAACATGTCCAGGCACGCTGAGTGATTCGTTCGAGGACACGAGGTGGCATTGTGATTGAAGCGAAGTCCTGGAGGGAGATGGCCATGTTTTAGACTTGGTCTACTGAATGACTGTGTGTGCTTGGAGGTAGCTGTGGCCACGTCCCACGAGGCTGCACTATCGTCGCATTCGAGCAAACAATGCGAGGTAAATCTATGCTAACTGACTTATGGCTTCTGGTGCAACCCCCCAAGTGCTCCCAGACGGTTGACACCCTTCCACTTAGCAGTTCGCTAGAGAGAACTCGACCACAGGTCATATGACAAAATTCGCGTCTTTTAGGGAATACTGTGAGTGCAATTTATCTGTTGAATGCATTACGTTACTCCACCCCGGTGCAAGTTTTCCAAGTTCAGCGGGTGCTTCTGTCACAATGATTCCTCGGAATAACATTTTTTGGGTTATCACCTTTGGGTTTCGCCTTCGCCCATTCGGGCAGAGGATGCCACATACACATTTAGATACAGGAGCAGTCCTCACGAGTATTCTATGTCAACCAGTTTATTGTAAGCTGTAACAATTCCCACAAATTATTCTTTCATTTTAAGCGGGTCACATTTTCTGGTAATTTGCGATACTATATTTTATTAAACACAGTCTTCTAATCCGGTGATTTCTAGCCGCTGATTTAAACAAGTCAAACGTTTTACCCCGAAAACATCGTAGTTTTCCGTTTTCGTTTGCCGGATACTGACCAGCTTGAATGATTTGCCTGGAAACCTCACAAACGAGAGATTCAGCTGGGTTCCAGGTGAGTCTCTCGCAAAACCAAGTTAGTTTACAAATGAGTGTATACTCGCCAATTTCGTGCAATTTGGTTTCAAGCAGAACATAAGGTTGACGGAAACCCGGGGACTGCGCCTACCTGATGAGCCCCAAAAAGAGCTGAACCGGTCGTGGGCTGTCGACGGATTTTCAGCAACCTTATAAGTAGTGCATTACGGGTATGCCGCTTGTTCCATACATGGGCATTCAGTAATATATGTCATTCTGTTTGAATCGGAACTACTTCATGCATCCTGAAGTCAGGTTTAGGGTTATTTAACTTGTCTTGTTCGTTGAGCTGAGCAATTTGATTGTAAAAGTTTCATCATCAATCAAGGCGACATCATCAGCATCCCATTCAAATACAACAAATTTCTCTTTTGGTCAAAGGGAATTTTCGGGGTAAAATTTCGAATGCAACTAATAACAGAGAGAAAACTGAAACCTTTGCGTCACAACCTTCTTGTGTGTGAGAGAGGGTTTTGCTAGAGTTCAAAAGAGCCTAATCAAATATAAACAGAACCTAGAACAATTCCGATCGAAGGGGAAGGTGGTTGGACAGTAAATAGTATCGGATTTCACAACCAACCAACCAACAATGACCTATTTTATAGTGGGGGGGGGGGGCAGTTCTGTGGATCACAACCTTGAGGACTAATCGATCTTGTGAAATCGATTAATCACATCTCACGGTTCGGAATAATGTTCAGTAAAATGGAAAGAACAAATGAAATCAAGGAAATCTTTTGTCAAATAAAGCCGTTCAAAAAGAAGCTTCCGGAAGATTCTGTGATCGATCACTCCGTAGGAAAGTAGTCACAACCGAGAAGAAATGCTCCACACAGTGATGCCAATCGAGTAAACATTTCGTAAATGCGGTTAAGAAAACCAATCACAATAAATACATACTCGAATGAAGAACTTTAAAATAATTTTAAAATTAGTGGTGTCAGAAGAGCAAAATATAACCATATGGGTAAAAAAAACAGCTGAAAATGCACAACCGTAACGAGCACAACCAGTGTAGTAGTTGAGGTTTCACAACCAGTTAAGAGGGTGTCGGTTTTGCCCGAATAGAATCACTGCAATAAGGAACAGGTGATGATCGTAATGGGCAGTGGATGACCTGCCTATTCCACTGTTGTTTGACCCTTTCTGTGAACGTTTTGGAGGCTCTGGATAAAAGGTGCCCATGGTGCCTGGAGGAGACCTGCCTCCAGTCTGCGTTTTGTCGGTTGAGCAGGGGCCATCTGAGAGAAAAAAACAGAAAGAAAAAAACACTTTTGGGGCCGTTTGTGCAACTCCATAGTGTGTTTCGGCCATGTTGATCCTTGGGACAAGGCAGACCGGACCCTAATGGATCGTTCTGGTCCAGATTACCACACACTACTGTCACTTTGAGAAATGGGTCCTCGCCGCGCGAGGAATCATCCGCTAAGCTAGGTTAATCTGCTCTGCATTGTCGTTACTTTCGACGACTTGCAGCTGACACTCGCTTGTTTCCAATCCAACCACGATATTGGTGTATTCATTTCAAATGATGAATTTGGTGCGACGGGTAGTTGGTGTGTGGAATGCTGACAAATCGATGTGCCACGTTTTTGAAACAATCGATCGCGAGACGAGTTTTATTGAACTGGCGAAAGTTGCCTTGATTTGGTTTAGTCGGCACCAGTTTGATGGATTTGCACGTACGATCCGCCCGATTCGGTGGCTCGGAGTTTGTCATTCCAAAGTGCATATTTTAGATACACTTACGACTTATCTGCATTTTAACCAATGGTGTTCTGACGTCAGTCCATTTAGAGGATTCGCATGTAGCAACACGACCCATACAATGTTGGCATGCGGTAATCAAATGTTGAACAGGCTATCGTTCTCCATCCTGTTATTGGCTGGTTTGTGACCTTGACACAGGCCAATAAAACGAATGCCCTGAAAGTGCATTGCCAAAACCATGCCAAAGTTTTAATGGGAACCAGATAGTAGTCATTCGACGTAGATTTCATTGCTGTGAATCACAGCAGTAGATTTCAGGTCGAATCCTATCAGTAGAATTGCCAAAACCACACCAAAGTTGTAATGGGAACCAGACAGTAGTCATTCGACGTAAACTTCACTGCTGTGAATCACAGAAGTAGATTTCAGGTCGAATCCTATCAGTAGTCTCAGTTTAACAACCACCTATCTCGTTTGGTTGTCTTATTGTTCTCATCGAATTTGCTCATTCATTTTCCGATTAATTTCGAAATCCACAGGGCGTTGGCCCTATTAGGGTCCCCTATTTCATCCGAGTATGAGTAGATAGACATTTGCAACAAAATCAATAGCGCCGATGCGTTATCCACGTGGATCTACCGTGAAAAAATTATTTGGGCTTGGTGCCCTTTATCCGACTGCGCCACAGGGCCCACAGATCCTTGAAAAAAACGTGATCCCGATAAAGGAACACGTGACCAACTTTCTTCTACCTTATTTTCAAGTGCTCACACTGCTTAGTAAATAAGTATCTCCTACGGGTGGGGTCACGCCACTCATGGTGCGTTTTTCACTGCTGGTCATACCTGTGGCTGGTGCCCTCATGCCTCATTTTTGAAAATACGATCAGTTACGCTTTTCTTCGCTTGAACTACATAAAATCAGTCTTGCCTTTATCCATCAGGAATGCTGTTTTGACCGATCGATTAAGGAATCTCGTGACACCGGACTGATGGACAGTTTTAAACAAGTTCAACTTCCTGGTGGATTCCTCGCGATTTGTTAAACAAGTCTAAAACTCTTCAGAAATAAACGAACTCAGCCTGTAATGTTGCAAGTTGCGTTGAAGTTCCGTCACCCTATAAAATCGAAATCATGCTTTTTCTATTTGGAGTCCTCGGCATGCAAACTAACTGGTGACAAGATGGCCGCTCTATCGCAAAAGCGTGATTGAGATGGGGCGAGATGGACCAAGTGGTTACAGCGCGAATTTACTGACCGGAAGGTCCGTGGCTCGAACCCGACCTCTGCCTCCCGACTTCCCCTGTCTAGGCTTGGGCAACCTGGCAGTATCCCAGCCCTCGTGCCTACTTCGGGTGGCATGGCAGTTAGGCACCGAAGGGGTGCTACAGCCGAACGAAAAGCGTCGTCGGTTCTTGATTTGCTCGGCCACGAGATGCGTTTCGTTTTATTTGCGGCCAATTAGCTAGGGTGGAGTGATCGAACACGAGGCAGTTGGTTTGCCAGTTTCAATTTGTTTCTCACACGTCCGCTGATCGAACAGCTCAGATTGGGAGTTCTTAACTTGCTTTCGAATGGCCGCTGAATAATTCGCAAAATATGACCAAATTAGTTTGCAAATGAGTGTATTTCGCTAATTTTGTGCCATTGGGTTTCAAGTAGAACATACGGTTGACGGAAACTCGGGGACTGCGCCTACACGATGAGACCCAAGAAGGGCGAAACCGGTCGTGAGCTGTCGACGAATTTTCAACAACCTCATGAGTAGTGCATTACAAATATACATGTATCGCGATAACTCGAATATCTTGGCGACGGGAACATGGGTGGCCTGGTGCAGCACTTTCAGTTGCCTGGAGACATCACAAACGAGAGATTCAGTTGGGTTCCAGGTGAGTCTCTCGCAAAAGCAAATTAGTTCGCAAATGAGTGTACTTCGCTGACCACTCACTAGTTTCGTCCAAAAAAACCATCGATCTCTGAAGGCCAGCTCGATGCGTCGCTGTAATGATGAGGGTGGCTGATCCGAATTCTGGATTCCACTATAAGATTGCTGAAAAAACGCAATCGCAAGGACCGATAAACGTTAAACGGCCTGACTATTCAGCAATAATCGTAGCTGATCCGCTTATGGTTATAAAACGTGACACCGAAATGAGTGATGTAGTCGTATCAGAGTTGAATTTCAGTCCTATGGAAACCTAGGTTGAAGGGGCGCGCGTTCTCTCCTCATTGCATGGCGCAAGTTCTGACCTGGAAGTCTCCCTATTCTGAACTTACAGTTTGAAACCATGGATAGAAATTCTGGCTGCTTTTACCAGTAACTCCAACAGTTGACCAGATCTCTGGTTCATCAAAGGGACAAAAAAATTCTGAGTCAGACCAGCAATGGACGAGCCAACTGTCAGGAGAATGACTTAAACAAAACACCATCCTACAAATCACCTACGATTTGCGGGCAAAACTTACTGAACAACAGTTGTTCCCGCATCAGCGGTAGTTGTTCGCGCCAAAACATGCAACGATGCCGTTGAAGATTTCGTTCCATATAAGACTCTGGAAGTCTGAAGACCATATGCTTCCTGGACGTGTCAGCAACCAATTTCGGCGAGGATTTCAACACCATCTCCTCCTTGAAGGTCGTCCCACTAGTCGGGGCATTGGAGGTGTAGCGTTCCCAGTAGAGGTTGCGGTTTCTTGTGTGAAATTCGCCAGGATTCAAATTAGGTGACCTTGAAGGCAGGAAAGTTGAAGGTCAGTCACCTGTTTCTGATTCATCTCATGATAGAAACTGAATTGTGTGACAAGTGGCAACTAAAAAAACTCAGAAACCTGTGTAAAGAAGTATCGACGTAATGAAAGCACTTAAAGTAGGATAAAAGTGCTCATGAAACGCAGAGAATTGATGATTTTTTACCCAAGCTTGGAGATATCAAGGGTTTAGCCTGGGAATCGACGCTTATAATCTGGATATCTGCTCAAAGTGGCATCGACCGTAGCCAACACTTTCATGTCACGTGACGCGTGTCTCCTAACCAGCACAGTTGGACTGTTGATTTTTTTAGTTGACCGCGTCGACGATTTGCGAGCAGACTGGACTAAAGGGAAACCGATCACTCGGCTGTCAGAACGAGTCGGATTCACGGTTGCATAGCATCCTAGTCAACAACGACCCAGATCGGCGCGTTGAATGTTTTTTTCAGTTCAATGGACGCACATGATAAACCTACCCAGTCGACGCAAAATTAGTCCAAAATCGCATCATTTCCTCACTGAGTCGTCTTTCTTCGTCAGTAAAGTTGTAAAATCGTTTCTGGTAGTCCGGGTTGAATGGGGCTCCAAAAATGTACTCAGCCTCATAACCTTGCATGACTCCAGTCCACTGAGGCCATGGCGAAGCTTGGGTCCGATGTTCGAATGAATACATAAACACCTGGAGTAAAGAGAACAAACGGGCAGATTACAAATCTGATAGAGATAAGAACGGTAGTCTTTGGAAATGACCCGTTTCATAATTTATCCATTCCTTCATGGTACCTTGACGATTTCGTAGTTTCATTGCTTTTCAAATGAGATCCACCGACCTTCGGAGGCATATTTTACCATAAAATCTTTGTTTCCCCTATTGATTTAGTCGAACTCAAGGATAGGCTTGCCAATAAAACCCATTGCTTTGGTATGTAGAACGGGCTCAATACGTGATTGGTGCGCGCAACCTTCGGTGTTTCGCTTCACAGGCCGGCGGAAGCCCCCCTTAGTCCAATTTCAAACCGGAGCTCACGGTCCGAAAAAGGCTGACGTAAATTGCATAGCTCATTTGTCCTGGTGAATACTGCCTATTCATCCATACATTTCATAGTTAACCAGAGATTCCAGAAAGACTACTTTATTAAAAGCTGCCAGTCACATGACTCACCGCTTTTCGCACTGCTAATAAACGAGTTTTCTTAAACTCAGATTTACGCGAATCTGGTATTCCAAAGTAACTGTGATCAAAACTCACTTGTGAGTTGGGTGCGCGTGAATAGAAATCAGCAAACTCCACCACCGGACACTTGATGTTGTAATCACCACCGACTTCATTGAGTGCTTGAAGAACCTCTTTGGCCCGCCAATCAGTCTTCCCAAGTGCCCTACTGGGGATCTGAAAAAGCAGGAGCATCAAATTTAAAAATGAGCAAAATACGTGGAAACTAATAGTTTTTTTGTTCACTGGTGGACATTCACTGGCATGTGTACTGTCGCGTCGCTGATTGGTCCGCCCAACAACCAATAATAAAACAGTACCAACCTCGTCGGGTAACCAACGCGCAGATCGCACCGATGCTGTCATCTTGGTTGGTGATGTAACGCATGCAACCGGTGAAGATATTGGGCAACGACAGTCACGACAACCTGACGCATCAACGTCCAACTCAGTGGCATTAGAATTCTAGCAGTGGTAGGCTTGGCGACACCATGAAAATCCGCCCACAGTCGATACGATGAGTAACAACAGCTATGTCAGCGATAACGTGAGTTTGGCGAACTGCCCTACGGGATATATCCAGATGACTCTACTGCGTGGCAAGTGACATGACTGTTTGGTAGTTCAAGTTCGTATTCTGTTTAGTGATAGCAAGTTAAGCCAACTTTAACAAAGATCCCATCAGGATTCCGGCGGGGCGATCCTTTCAATACCAGCAACATTTTGTGGAAAGTGTGCTAGGGAATTTCAGTTCTAATAGATAAGTCTTCTCTTATACCACACCCCGAAACTTGGGGATCGGTAAATATGATAACAATGAGACCATTGTCCACTGACTAGCTTCGTGTGAGAGCCTATGAGTGTCGCCCGTGAGCGTCTCCAGGTAAACTTGAATGGATGCCGCAATCGTCCCACTTCACCGGCCCTGTATTTTCACATTCAAAACAATCAAAATGATATTGGAGAGCAAGGTTCTTAATATGCGCCCAAATTCATCATACCCTCCAACAAACATAAAATCTCGCTAACACCATCAGGGTTTTTAATGCAAAATTCCACCAGATAGGTTGACAATCGAAAGCAAGACATTGGTTGTTGATCAGATGGCTGTTGATCTGTTCGCTGAGCTTGGCAATTGGCTTGCAAACGTTTCGTCACCACACGAGAAGACATCATCAGTGCGCAGTTGGGTGGGTCTACTTTATTAAAAGCTGACAGTCACATGACTGATGATGATGTCTCTTCGTCTCCTCGTATGGTCTCCTCCTCGTCTGTCTGTCTCCTCGTATGGTGACGAAACGTTTGCAAGCCAATTGCCAAGCTCAGCGAACAGATCAACAGCCATCTGATCAACAACCAATAAACTCACCCGAGCTACCAATATTTCACCACATTACCGAATGCAAGACAGTTGTGTGGGCTACTGGGTAGGGAATACATAAATCTCACAGGAAGAATGGAGCTGTATACGTGTGAACCGACTACCAAGAATGAACTCTGAGCTTTGGATCTAGCATAGCTGAGTTGGCCACCTCACATACTCTGCCTACTGCGGTCAATAAGCAGTTGGATTCACACAGGGGAGGGTGGACCTTGTAGGTGGTTTATCGCATACGGACGTGTAAAAATCTGTCTACAGCACGTACACCGTAGTGTGATAAGGTCGAAGGAACACGTGCACTCACCTGATATTCAAAGACGGTCGCTTGAAGTAAGGTCGGATGTAGGAAGTTCTCGTCCATAATGTAGAACGCAAGTAGATCCATGGGGTCCGTGGTTCCTGCTTGATATTCAAAGTCTCGGGGCATTTCTGGCCAATGGTTGTGTTGCAAAAAATACTTCCGCAAAGCCTGAATGATGTGGAACATACCTGATGCAGAGAAAATTAACACAGCAAATCAATAAGCGTGAGAGCACAATTTTTCTACAATTACTTTCGGTTACTAACGTTTTCTGAGTAGTCTGAAATAAAAAGAATTCATAGGACGCCAACCTGTTCATCTGTTCGCCAATTTTAGCAATCAAATTGCAAGCGTTTCATCCCCACACGAGAGGACATCATCAGTGTGCAATGACGAGTAACACCTGAATAAAAGACCAGCAAACGTATCCGAGCTGCCAGCATTCCTATACACGCCGATATAAAGAGCTTACAAACAGATGCGATGATTCTAAGGGCGCTTGAAAACTTACCTTCATCTTTGTTCACTCCCAGCATAATACGATGGCGTATATGGAGTTTCCCAGAGCCGAGAATTTCATATGGCCAGTGAGGTAACAGGGGATCAGCTACGACCGGCTTGAAGGGGATGTCGTAATAATACCCGGCGGAACGGAGTAGCTATGTGGAGAATTTAAATTGTAATCGATTATCGATCTTGTATAGCCTAATTACGAGAACATCTGAACATGAGGAAAAAACAAAATGAACGAATGGACGCGCGTGATACCCAGCACACTGAGTGTGATTAGTTTGGAGTTCAGTTTTCCACGAATCCACTATCCGTTGTGACAAGTTAGAGATGAGTTTTAGCTGTTGACGCCTGCGGGATTTGTAGACTCTCGTTTGAACGGTCCTCTTCCCGTTCTGGCGTAATTATTCTGGGAGAGTCCACACCAGAGGAGGTAAGCAGTGCATATCCCTGACCGTGCCGGGGTTTGAACTCACCCCACGAGCAGATTCACCTGTTCAGACGTGAAAATTCAGATAAGTCCAGCTGTGCTGGTTCAGTAGTGTGACAAACTCGCCTAGCATGTCAGATGTGCGGAGTTCAAACCAAGGATATTCACTGCTGATGAGCTTTAATAAGAGGGAAACTCGAGTCAAGTGCCTTCACCATTGGTGTGGACTAACCAGAATGGTTCAGCCAGGGTAGGAGGACCAACGTTCATTCTACCAATCCAGCAATCACATAGAACTAGGACAAAAAGTGTCCAGGACGTTTCAAGCCTCTGTGACGCTCTCTGATTGGGAAGTCCTGACAGACGGGCTAATCGATCGAAACAACCAAGGTATGTTACTGGGTGGTCGTTCGAGGCGTTAGGCTTTCCACTCACTTCACTCAAGCGAGAAACGCATTTAGCAGTCTGTCGAACTATTTCTCGGTCGGATGCGTTGACCGGCTTTCGGTTGTGTTATTGATCCGTTAGTTGGCTATAGCGATTGGTTACGAAGCGGTTCATCTGACGATGCGTTCTCGACTGTCGGCAAACAGATAAACAAGTACCTGATTAATAGACAACAAGAATGGGGTTGATTAAATCCGGAGGACATATTTTGATGCTCATTACGCCTTCCAGTTAACCACTAAAATGTGGAAGCTTCAGGCTTTCAGTTAAAGATGAACGTGGGATAAGGTGTTTGCTCGTCTCAGTTTGGAATTTGTCATTTGTTTTCCCGGACGTTTCTCGTTTGTTGGGAAATGCAGTTGGGATCAATTCCATGTGTTACTGGAATCTTATTGATCGAAAGACTTAAAAGGGTACAGTTTCTCCTAATCAGGCAGGGCATTCTCAAGTCTACTTGCTCATCACATCGGGAGGAAAATTCGTGCATGGTAAAACTTTAGGTAGAAGACTTTCTGTGCCGCATCACTCCGAGCTCAAACTCTCTCTGTTTCACTGCAATGTCAACAATAAAATGTCGCGAACTTTGGACGCAAACGAAACTGATGTCAGTAGGATGGTAACCACAAAACTATCCTAACGGATGACAAATAATTTGGCCTTGCACTGACGTTTTGGCACAAATTTGTGAACCAGAAAATAGTGAGGTTTTCCATTGTATAGAATATGTTCTTCGGTCCTCATGTTTGGAGCCATGTTGTTGCTTAGTGTGTACTGAGGGAATACATGTGATCAGTATACTTTTCAAGGTTTGATTCATGAAGTAAAAGACAAGGTTAGGGTTTTGCGAGATAGGTATTTTTGTTCATAGCCACGCCACCCTCGCTTGGACGGCTGTGTTCCTGTTCTGGCGTAATTATTCCGGTGAGTCCATACCAAATGGAAGCACTGGACTCGAGTTTCGCTCCTATTAGAGCTCATCATGACCGTGCCGGAATATGAACCCCGGACATCTAACATGCGAGGCGAGCGTGTAACCACTACTCCACCAACGTACGTTGGACGCATCTGAATTATCACGTCTGAACAGGCGAACGTGTTCACATTTAAGCAATTTGATTGGTGCGCCCGACTCATCGAACGGCGAGCCAGTAACTGTCCTGGTTGTGCCGATCGATTGACTGGGGTTCAAATCCCGGCATGGCCATTGGATATGCACTGCTGATGAGCTCCAATAAGAGCGAAACTCGAGTCCAGTGCTTCCCTTTGGTGCGAACTCACCGGAATAATTACGCCAGAACAGGAACACGGCCGTTCAAACGAGAGTGGTGTGGCTATGAACAAAAAGACAACAGTAGTGCGAACCGTTATAGGGTGATGCAGAGTTGATACACAGAGCTAGTACTGAGTGAGTTTTTGAGGGACCATACTTTGTCCGTTGGAGGGAACGAATTTCTACTGTGAAACGGCGGCTTTGAACTCAAGACTACTTTTAAATGTCCGTTTCAGATTCCCAGGACCGCTCTCAGTGTGGTTTATCAAGCGAGGATCACGAACTTGATGATGCGAGTGAGAGAGTCACCTGACTATTGGTTTAACAGGGTTTTCTGACTTATTTTTCGACCCAGTGATGACGCAGTATACACAAACCTCTCAGTTCCGCTTGACATTTCTTGCAACCAGTGACCATAGCCGCGCCGCAGCTTTCCACAATATAAAAGATAAGAGTTAGAGAAGTAATTTTTTGCTCGACACAGTGCTACACTGCTGTCGGAAGTAACAAGTGAGTTTACTGTTAGTGTGGGTATCAGTAACAGGCGAGTAGCAGCTCATTTTAAATGCGGGGATCGAACCCGGACCATCGGAATCACAGTTTGTTCATCTTGAATCGCAGCATACTGATAATCGATCTGTCAGGATACCCGTACACGGACGTAATATCATCGGAACAGCCGGAAAGATATGCAGGTATCGCATAACCAACGCACAGATCACCGAATTCTGCAATACTTTCTCTGCAGTGCTTGTGTTGAGGAGAGAGAAGCGAGGCAACTTCAAGTAGATCATAAGGTTAACGGAAACTCGGGGACTGCGCCTACCTGATGAGCCCGAATTGGAAGGGCGAAACCGGTGGTGGGCTGTCGAAGAGTAGTCCCCTTCACTAATTAGTGTTTATGCTGAGGGCTTGTGTCAAACTTCACTGGAGATCGCATTTTTGTCGACTGGTGAACACTCGGCAGCTGGTTTCAAATCGCAAAATCTGTCGTGGTTATTTTCACGAGAATTCTAAGGCTAAAAAAATCTTCCTTGAAAAACGAAAGTCATAAAGTTGGCCTGACCCACAAATCTCCACCTGGGAACTGAAGCAATTTAGGCAATCCATACTGACGGGTCTTCCTTTCAGGTTCGAACGATATTCTTTCTGTGCGAGAACGCGTTCTCTGGCGACTCGGCACTGATCTACCAACATTTAGAGCGAGTGTATCACCACCATATCGCCATCAAAGGGATAAAGTCTGGATTTCCAGTGTGAACGGGCTACCATGTGTATATTTGAGCTATCCATGTGATTCGCTCGGCGCCCTGGACGATGACCGGGTCAATATCGGATTTGAACCAATCGATGACTTACGTCAGTAGACTACTCGTTCGGATGGCCCCAAGACTGCCGAAAAACTACCCCCGTGATTACCTTTCACATTAGGAAGAACAAAATCTGAGTGGAAGTGAACTCCACACCTCATTTGGAACGGAAGAACCACTGGACCCCACCACATCAATGATAAGTGCCATTTTTCTAGTGATCTTCGGATCAAATCTGATATGAAACATGGCGGTTCGGATTGGTCATGCTCGATTGGATGGACACATGCTGTTCACTCGTTCCTGAAATCCGTAGCGTGCTCGACGTTGTTTTGGAGTTGTTTTTTTTGAGTTTAGATGCTAATTTTGAGTTCATTTGGTTCACCTGGTGAAAAGGGAGCATATCACTTGGATAAGTATTCATTTCTGAAATCCCTTTCATATAAGGATTCTACTTGTGGATTGAGATCTTATCGTTTACCACTTGTACACTAAAGATTTGTTTTAGAACGACAAGGATGTGGTCATACCCAAGGTATCTGGACATATTCCTTGGTACTTATTGTTTTGCTCTGCTATTTCAATGGAAACCCCTTGAAGTTGAGCCGGTTGACCCCACTAACTACAGTTTTAACGTGTACTGTAAAATTAGAAATTTTCAGACAGTACTCAAAATGGGCTCACTTGCGGATTCAATGAGTTTCGGTACCACTGGGTCAGCTGTACCATCCGACTGGAATTTTCCCCATTACGAAAATGATGCATGCGCCATTGATCGACCTCCAAGGATTTGGCATCCACACTGCGTAGACAACTTGCCAGTTCGGCCAGAGATTCGCCGACTCCTTTGGGGAGTTCACAACCGCTCAAGGTAGCCAGCAACTGTGTCTGAAATGCAGGAAGAAGATGGCAATGGTTTACGCAAAAACTGGCTTACGTCAAGAGTTGATATGCAATCGATTCACTTTCCTCATTCCGGATCTACTTCAGTCATTCCCATCAAGGCCTCTCTATGAAACCGTCCGATCGATGGGATGCCGTGAGTGTCCTCAGCAAAGCAGAACACAACTGCAGTGCACTGTAGATCACGCGTGACAAGCGCTCAAATCAAATAACAATTCCTGTGCCCGACTTGCAACCTTAGCCGACAACTTGTACACTACAATTTCTCATCCATTTTTGTTTACAACCAGATCACTAACAGCACCATGAGCGTTTGTCCACGATGGCTACTTTCTTCCCGTAAGGGCTGGATAGAACATGTTATTAGAATGAAATCTGCAAGTCTGTGATACCTTAGATGCGAACAGAGGCCATTCTGGAATGCTTAGGAATGAGTGAGAACAAACCCACCTTTTCCAAGGCTGTGCGTTTACTTTCTATTGCCCACCAGGCCAAAGGTGAACCACTCTGAAGGATGGCTTGCTGATACAGGGAACTCGAAACGGGAGAGAGTAAGTGCAGGGCAACGCACACAACACCTCCCGCATGTCCGAACAAGGTCACCCTAAAAGTGGAGAAAGGAAATCTATATATTACTGGAAATCACTTGGAAAGCATCGCACATCCTCATTACACTGTCAATCCACTATTCGTCACCCGTCGCCAAAATGTGGCATAACGTGTCACAAAGATCACATTATCAAGTGTGTCTTATCGTGATAGTACAGGGCGTCTTACACTGGACTCAAAATTTGATTGGCTAAAATAAAGTAGCCAATCAGAGAAAGGATTTTAAAATCTTTTATTATTAGTAGCCACATAGAGGAGGTTTTGTGTGCGTGTTAACATTTTTTTCTGTTTACGATGGATGTCAGTACGCGCATCAAAATTGTGAAACACTATTATTCCCTTGGTGAAAGCGACACGGCGGCACTTCGTGGTTACAAAACCAAATATGGTCTCATCAAAGATTCTTTCACCGTCTTGATCACTACAGGCTTGATTGAGTAATTTGAGTCCAGTGGATTTGTATTGAATTTTCCTGGCAAAGGCAGAAAGTCTCTGAGCGCTGAAAGAGCGCCCATTGTACAGAATGCCGTCGAGCAAATTCAGTCACAGAGCACCATGGCATCTTCGTCAATGACTCAGGTGTCCCATGACCGGCCCTCCCCGCTCCAGTGTGCATCGTATTATGAGACACCACCTTCACTCCTACCCGTATGATTTCACTTTATTACAAAACATCAAGGAAGAAGACAAGGAGCAGCGTGTCACGTTCGCTATGAAGAAATCGTTCCCAACACTCTATGGAGCGACGAAGCAAATTTTTCTGTGGATGGCATAATCAACAAGCACATTTGCGTGATATGGTCCCGTGGAGCTCCCCACGAGTACCTCACCCATAATCTCTATTTCCCCCATCTCTGTGTGTAAATGGGATTCTCCTCAAAGTGTCTTCTGCGTCCCTTTTTCTTGATACTACGGTTTCCGGCGACACTGACCTCCATCTGCTACAGACGCATGTTATCCCGCAACACAAGCAGCACAAGAAGTCATCAACCGTCTTTCACCAAGATGGCGCTCCACCCCACTACTCAAAACAAGTCCGACAGTACTTTTCTGATGAGAGAGTCATTGCTAGTGAACTTCCAAAATTTTTACCCGCAAGGTCACCCGATCTCACATCTCTGGATTATTGGTTTTGGGGAATGATCAAGGCTCACGTATATCATGAAAATAAACCAAAGAATTTGCTGGAGTTGAGAGTAAGAATTGAAGAACAGTGTGCACGAGTGACGCTTGAAGAAGTTAAATATGCTGTGTCTCACATCTCATACTGCCTCCAATTTGTTATAGGAGAGGCCGTTTTTCAGCATCTTTTGTAATGCTAGTTTATTTACAATAAATGTACATAATATACGTATGTCCATATAAATAATAATAAATGTTTGATTTGGTATTAAAGTTTTAACATGAGTATTATTTTTTGCGTCTATTATAAGACACCCTGTACTACTACTAAAAGTGTTTGAGTTTTATTAAATCATGCTTGCAGCCGCTACGACGGCATCCTTTCTCCGGCAAAAGACTACGTTTGAGCGCCGATGAATTACAGACGTACCGTTTTTCCTCCTTTACTAACTCACGAATATCCAATCAAAATAATATAACTACATGGGATGCATGGGTCAGCTGACGGTCCAGCCTACTTGTCTGATATTATAGATTAA